GGAGAACAGAAAAAAAAAAACCCAAGCCGAAAGTTTTGGTTTTTTTTTTTTTTTTTTTTGGCGTGTGTGGACAGAAATTAATCCATCACTCGACAAACCCCATTCTTGTTTACTTTAGGATGAAGCGATTAAACATACATTATATGTAATTAAAATTGACTGACTGACTGAGGTTAGGAGTTTGAAGTTAATAGTGAGGTCATGACTTGAGAGAGTGGTAATTGTAATAGTGATGTATTGAGTAGGTGAGATTATGACTTTTGTTTTCTTTTGACGCTCGTTTTGTGGTTGTTGGAGGGCCCAACTAATGGCCGCGATGAGTATGAGTTTATGCATTTGTTTCGTTTTGACTCCTATACATTCTAATACAATGATGACCTATGATGTTTTTAAAGGATATGAAATAATTAAAGAAGAACAAATAATTTTTTTAAAAAAAAGAGAAAAAAATTCAAATTTTGTCACCTATTTTTAATTTTCTTCTCAGATTATTATTATTTTTTTGTCTGAGATCTGTTTGCTTTTTATTTTATTTTATTTTTATCTCTAATAAGTCCCTAATAGTGTTAAAATTTTAGACGGACTGTCCGCGACTATAAAAAATTAAGTCCCTAATAGTCTAACGGTAACACACTTTCAGGTCGGGCATTTCGGGCAACGGTAAAAAAGAGCCGTTAGGGTCGGCCAGGTCGGGCGGCGGGTTAGGTCGGGCAAAATAGAGCCGTTGCATTCAAAATTCGGGCAAAATTCAGACTAACGGTCACAAAGAATTTGGGTCGTGTCGGGTAGGGTAAAATTTTCGGGCTTCGGGCAGGTCCGCCGCCCGAACTTACAACACTAGTCCCTAACGGTCGCGTGCCCTTTTAAGGAAAAGAAAAATAAAACATAGAAAATTATTTTTTTTTCTTTTAAAAAACTTGTATATACTTTGTATAAAATAGAGGATTTATTGACTAAGGGGTTAAATCTATATGTTTCATAAAATCCAAAGTAAAAAGTAAATATTCAGGGTTAAAATTAAGATGAATGTATAAAATAGGATTCTTTGGTGTAACTGTAAAATAACCATTGCGGCAGTCCGCGGACAATAGTAGGTAGATCTGTCTGATATAGTAATGTTTTTGTCGTCTAATCTAATTTGCTTCCTCTGCTTCTCTCAAAATCAAATCCCCCGTATCCATTTCTAATTTTTCACATTACATAAGAATTGGAATGTGTATATATATATATTTAATATCTTTGTATTTATTTATTTAAAAAAAAACTACCATACCAAGTTACCAACCAAACCATTGAGTTTATATATATTCTCTCTCCTCTCCTTGGTCAGTCTATCTTCGCCATAACCCTTCCCATCCCCAGACGCAGAGAGCGAGCTTTGCTCCCCCTAACTTAAGGTACGCATTCCTCAATATCCCTCTTCCCCTCAACATTTTCTTTTCTTTTCTGTTTGGTTCCTGAGAAAGAAACGAAATCAAATTAACATCCTATACACAACACTAGAGTGTTGGGTTATTTATTAGAATAGAGTGAATGCATCACTGATCTGATCTGATTCGATCTGATCTGAGCTCATCTAGGGTTTGGTTTTGTTATTGGATAGTTAGAGAAGATGAAGGTTATAGAGAAGATCAGAGAAAACCAGAACAAGGAAGCTGTTTTCTCCTTCGAATTCTTCCCTCCGAAGACGGAGGATGGAGTGGAGAATCTGTTCGAGAGAATGGAGAGAATGGTGGCCCACGGCCCCACCTTCTGCGACATCACTTGGGGAGCGGGAGGATCAACGGCTGATCTGACGCTCGAGATCGCCAACAGAATGCAGAACATGGTATGCGTTGAGACTATGATGCACCTCACATGCACCAACATGCCTGTCGAGAAGATCGATCACGCTCTCTCCACCATCAAATCCAACGGCCTTCAGAACGTTCTCGCCCTCCGCGGCGACCCGCCCCATGGCCAGGACAAGTTCGTCCAGATCCAGGACGGTTTCGCCTGCGCTCTCGACCTCGTAAGTAGAGAGAGTAGCAATTTAACAGTTTCACATACATTGCGTAGCATTGCATTGTACTGTATTATCAGATCGGACTGCCTTATGCTCCGTTCTGATCTAATCTTCTGATCTGATGCAGGTTAAGCACATCAGGGCCACTTATGGCGACTACTTCGGCATCACCGTAGCTGGTTATCCAGGTTGGTTTTCTTTCTTTCTTTACAAAAATAAACAACTGGACTAAGCTAATTATATGATTTCATTATTATGAGTTAGTAATTAGTTTTGAATAATAATCTCATAATATGAGTGAGTGAATGAATTGTCAATGCAGAGGCACATCCCGATGCCATTGGGAGTGACGGCGTTGCTACACCCGAAGCATATGAGAAGGATCTCGCTTATTTGAAGAGCAAGGCAAGATCCTTTCTTCCAATCTCTCTCTTCGGTTTCCTTAGAAAATAAACTTTTTTTTTTTTTAATTACTAACTTTGGTTTACGAACGATAAACAACAAACAAAACAGGTTGATGCTGGAGCAGATTTGATTGTGACTCAGTTATTTTATGACACTGATATTTTTCTCAAATTCGTCAACGATTGTCGTCAAATTGGGATTACTTGCCCCATTGTTCCCGGAATCATGCCCATTAACAACTACAAAGGCTTCTTGCGCATGACTGGCTTTTGCAAAACAAAGGCATGGCAACTCATAGCTCAAAATTCCTGCTTTTATTTTCCTGGCTGTTACTTCTTGCTTATATAAATGTTGTGCATAGTTTTCACTTCATATTTAACGTCTTTCAGTCCTAGTACTAGTCACCACTTCGTAAGCAGTGCAGTTTAGTTTACTACAAGTTTAGACGTGCATCACCATGCTAAGGTAGTTTTGTGTGTAAGTGTACGTTGTGAATTTTGGGAATCCTTCAATCAAGCCCGTCAAGCTATGGATGGACTAAGAGTCCTCAATATGGACTTAATTTGGGAAATAAATTAGTTGGATTTTCAAAGCCATTCGAGCTAACTCTCTTACTGATTGTTTTGGTGCATACTTTAGGAATAAAATAATGTTTGACGTTTGAATTTTTTTTTTTTTTTTTTTTTTTTTTTTTTTTTCTTTTTGCTCTTCTTACTCGTGTCAAATGTTGAATGATGCTTATTTGCAATTAATTTTGTATTATAGATACCGGCTGAGATCACTGCTGCATTGGAGCCTATCAAGGACAATGATGAAGCTGTTAGAGCGTATGGAATTCACCTTGGAACTGAAGTGTGCAAGAAGATTTTAGCCCACGGGATAAGGACATTGCACCTCTATACACTCAACATGGAGAAATCAGCATTGGCTATACTAACGGTTTGTCTCTCAAACCTAGTTTTATCTGATCTCATCTTCATTGCAGTTCTAATTGTGTATTGTTATGGTCTGGATGTTTAAAACCCTCTTTGATTCTGGGTCTACAACCCTTGTTGTCTTGGTAACGTGCGCAGAATCTTGGTTTGATTGAAGAAAGCAAAATACCTAGGTCTCTACCTTGGAGGCGTCCTGCAAATGTATTCCGAGTCAAAGAAGATGTTCGTCCGATATTCTGGTATGCTATTTATAAACTCCCTATGTTGTACTTTTCAGGAACCAAGTGTGTAATAATATGGTTGTTGTCTTTCTATCCAATAACTTCAGGGCAAACCGTCCAAAAAGCTACATATCGAGGACGATAGGCTGGGACCAGTATCCACATGGACGATGGGGTGATTCTCGCAATCCTTCTTATGGGGCACTAGCTGATTATCAGGTGTGTCACTGAAACGTTTGTCTTGGTGCTTCTACTCTTGCTGCATCTCTTATCCCTGGGTTTAGAATTTGTCTTTTTATGCATAAGATCATCTGTTCTTGCTAAGTTGTAGCATCCAAATGGTATCTTACATTACAATTTAAGTGAAAGAGTTAGAGAGATTTGTGCTTTTCTCGAAGTATTATCCAACTTTAGCTTTTCTCAGTCATAGAATGATGCAGACTTACCAAGTAGTTATACTAAGCGCAAATATTCTAGTGTGATGAATACGAGCATCTAGCAATTTGTTTAGATATGTTATAAAGAAAGTCAGTAGAAGGGGAAATCATGGCCAAACAATAATGAGCAAAATTACTAATGGTATACAATTCTCCATATAGCACTTCTGTTTATTGTGATGTTACCCTGATTTTTCATTTTCTATTTTTTTAAAAAATAATGTATAGCAATTTTTTTTTTTACACTGTAGTTCATGCGACCGCGTTCACGTGACAAGAAACTTACTGAAGAATGGGCAACCCCATTGAAAATCGTTGAAGATATCCATGAGGTACATTATATATTTTCATGTGAAGAATGAATAACGCCCATTATTGTTGTGTACATCTGCTAACATGTTGCACATAGTTACTTTCCAGAAATTTAAGAAATTATGCCTGGGAAAATTGAAAAGCAGCCCGTGGTCAGAACTGGATGGACTGCAGCTCGAGACGAAAATCATCAACGAACAACTAGGGAAAATTAATACCAAGGGTTTCCTCACCATAAATAGCCAACCAGCTGTAAACGGGGAAAAATCTGATTCGCCATCTGTTGGTACGCAGCTAGTTTAAAGTGAAGGAATGTGTACCTGTGTTTGTTTTTTTCTCTTATAAGTCGTCAAGAATACTTGTAACGTATCCACATTGTACATGTGATCGTGCTTTGATTGATTTTGGCTTATGGGTGGCTAATATGAGACAAGTCGATCGTTTGCAGGATGGGGTGGGCCAGGTGGATATGTTTATCAAAAGGCATATCTAGAGTTTTTCTGCTCCAAGGAGAAGTTGGAGGCGCTGGTGGAGAAATGCAAAGGTTTCCCATCCGTGACCTATGTGGCCGTGGACAGAGAAGGGGCTTGGAGATCAAATATTGAACAAACGGCTGTGAATGCGGTGACATGGGGAGTCTTCCCGGCAAAGGAGATAATTCAGCCGACCGTTGTGGATCCTTCAAGCTTTGTGGTTTGGAAGGATGAGGCTTTTGAAATTTGGTCGAGGGGATGGGCTCGATTGTACCCGGAGGGTGACCCTTCTCGAAAACTTCTTGAAGAGGTCTGTGACTTTGGTTTTGTCTATGTTCACAACATTTTAGTCATCTTTGACGATGTCTCACGTGATGTTTGTGGGCCGCTTTTGCAGGTGCAAACCAGCTATTTCTTGGTGAGCTTGGTGGACAATGACTACGTCCAGGGGGATATTTTTGCCGTTTTTGCTGATCTCTGAGACAATTAATTGTCTGATCTTTCATGCCATGGGACCCCAATGCCAGGGGACCCCAAAAAAAAAAAAAAAAAAAAAAAAAGAAAAAACCCTGTTATTACCTATTTTACGTATTTGAATTGATGCTTTCTTCCATGGATTTATAATCTTTTTTTTTTCCCCCTTACCCTTGAGATGTGTAATGTAATATAATTTGGGTTGGGTTTCAATACCTCCCCGGTAGCCATAAAGGTCGTTGCATAACAGCACGAAAACAATTACTTTGCAAGCAAAAAGTAGCTATTGCTATTCAATGTCATTTGCATTATTTATTCATAATTTGTTTTGTTATGTCTGTTCATTCTCAGCCACCCAAAATGCATTCTCAAATTATTACCTCTAATTATATGCGTATGTTTATACATATATGTAAGCTTGAATCTTGTTTTTATTCTTTGATGGTGTTTAAGCGTATGATCTGAAGAGGAAGAAGAAAGGTTTTCGAAATTTTCTTTGAAGTTCCTTATTTACTTTATTATTTTTAATAAAATAATACTTTTATTGAGCTGATTACATTTAATTAGTTTTTAAGGACGTGTCACATCAACACTCTGTTTGAGTTATAAGCGATAGTAGATAAAAATGACATTTTGATCTGTTTTTACACATAAAAAATATATTGTTTGGAAAAATTAAAAGACACTTTAAAATATGGTGCATATTTTTAAGGGTTTTTACGAAAATAATCTATTTCTTTTTTTTTTTTTTTTTCCCCGCACCGGGTGGATTTTATATGGGCAAAAATAAATCAAATAAAAAGTTAATTTAAAATGAAACTCGTCGGCCTCTGTCTCAGAAGTCACAAGTTGCACCACCACATGTTGTCCGTCTCTCCGTCTTCCCTCCGTTCTTCTTCTGAAACTCAAACCCAAACCCTAGCAATAGCAGTAGCAGTAGCATATGAGAGAAGCACAAGCAGAAGCACAAGCTCCACGCTCAACATGCAAGGTTTTTATTCTCTTAATTAACTAATCAATTAATTGATTAAGCTTTTGCATCGAACACACAGACTCTGCCTAATTTTTTTACTTGTTGATTTGATGTTTCTCGTTTTGTTTCTTCTTTCATTTTTGATTTTTGATTTTTGATTTTTTGATTTTTCTTATAAGAACAGAAAGCCTTTTCGTTTAAGCTCCCCCGTCTTTATTGATTTCTCTCGGTTGTCTTTGTATCAATCAAAATTTGTATGATTTTTGGTTGGTTAGTTTTGTTTATGTTGTTGTTGTTGTTATTGTTATTGTTATTGTTATTGTATTCAGGAAATAGTATACGGGGATTTGTCTTTATTGTTATTGTTATTGTTATGATTTGGGATTTGTATAATTTTGTTTTGTGTGATTTTGTCTACTCTTCATTCTCAACTCTCAATTCTTCTTCGTCTTCCCCCTCTCATCTTGACTAAATCGACATCACCAGGCTCTTCCCTCTCATGTCACTTTTTTCTCCTTTTTTTTTTTTTTTTTTTTTCGACCCCAAGTCCCTACTTCTTCTTTTTCTCTTTTTCTTCTTTTTTCTTTTTCTTTTTCTTTTCTTTTTCTTTCCTTATTAATACAACTTAATAATGGCATGCTCATGTATTAAGCTATTATTGCCTTTTGCTTGCTTCCCAAGCGCAGATTCTTAGCCATTAATTAATAGAACATAGATAGATCTGATACATAAATGTCAGGACTTTGGGAGAACGCATAAGTAAGCAAACAAACAATCAACCAACCTCCCCAACCCCGATATCATTCTCATTCTCATTCATTATGATTATGTCGAGCTCCGACGAAAACCGTCTGCCATGGGTGACCCGTATGAGTGTCTCATTCCTCTCATTCCTCACTGACACGGCTCGGCACTCTAATGGCACCGTCAATAGGCACTTTCTCCGTCTCTTCGACTTGCGATCTCCTCCCATCCCCAATCCAAACTCTAGCAGTGGCTCCCAATCCGTGTCCACATCTGACGTCACCATCGACCCTTTCCGCAACCTCTGGTTCCGCCTCTTCGTCCCGGCCTGCGCCTCCTCAACCGCTACCAATTCCCTTCCAGTGCTTCTCTTCTTCCACGGCGGCGGCTTTTCCTTCCTCAGCCCCGACTCTATTGTCTACGACTCCTTTTGTCGGAGGATGGCTCACAAACTTCCTGCTGTAGTCGTTTCCGTCAACTATCGATTGTCGCCGGAACACCACTACCCTTGTCAATACGATGATGGGTTTGACGTTCTAAACTTCCTCGATGGAGATCACAAGGGCGTCCTGCCAGAGGCGGCGGACGTGTCGAGGTGCTTCCTAGTGGGAGATAGCGCTGGCGCCAACTTGGCCCACCACGTGGCGGTGCGGGTGGCAAGAAGATCAAATTCATCATCGAATTCGGCGTGGAAGGCAGTGAGGGTGGAGGGGCTTATGTCGATACAACCGTTCTTTGGGGGAGAGGAGAGGACGGAGGCGGAGATGAGATTCCCGGAGGGCCCAGTGGTGACGGTGGAGAGGACGGATTGGATGTGGAAGGCATTCTTACCGGAGGGAGCGAGTAGGGACCACCCGGCTGCCAATGTGAGTGGGCCGCAAGCGGAGGACATCTCAGGATTGAAGCATTTTCCTCGGACGGTGGTGATAGTTGGGGGAATGGACCCTCTTCAGGACTATCAAAAGAGGTACTTCCACTGGTTGAGGAGCTCCTTCAAGGATGCTCGGTTGTTGGAGTATCCTAAGATGATTCACGCTTTTTACGTCTTTCCTGAGTTGCCCGAATCAACTCACCTCCTCACTCAACTCAAGGACTTCATCTATCCTATCTACAATTGCACCTCCTCACCAACTCACTAACCCTCTTTTCTTTATTTCTTTTTCCTTTTTTGTCCCCATTTTTTGAGGAGTAAACATTGAAAAATTGCTAAAATTACTCAAAAATTGCTTTGTCAGTTGCACGAGACAGTGCATTATTTCCTATTTCAATAAATACCTATCTGCTTGTGGTCAATGAATTTCATATTTATGTAGCAATTCCAAATTCCTTTAGTTCATTTGGTGGGAGTGGGACAACAAACCTTACGTTAACGTTTCCTATTCTCTTATGTGAATTCTAATGTCAAATTCTCAACAAGTTTTGGAGATTTTGTGATACTACAGATTAGGAAAAAAAACCCTCTTTTGAAGACCTGGGTTTCATAGTTTCTGCAAAAGTTGCTTGACTTTGCTTTTCTTTTTCATAGAGTTTTTGAGCTTTCTGAAGTTTAGGAGGTAGGTGGGGCGTATTTGTTGATAAAGTGAAGGAAAAGAGAATTATGAGGATTGAGAACTTGAACAATGTAGTCATTAATCCGACCATACGTTGGATATTTTTATCATATGTGTAGACTTAATTTAGCAATTTATCAAACCTGTAATAAGGTATTGGATGTAATCTAACAATTTTTAATTTATTTTCGTGATTAATGAAAATTTAAGTTTCTTATCAAATAGTAAAAGAATAAAAAATTATAATAACAAGTTTTTCTTTTCTTTAAAAGGTCGCTGGGGGAAAATTGGTAATTTAAGATGGTTACAATTACGGTTTCTAATAATAGATATCTTCTAATTTGAGTCTTCTCCAAGCTCGAAGGAGATTGATTGATGGCTGTTAGATGCAGGATCAATGAGTCGGGGTCAGATTTATGCTCTTGTAAGCGCAATTCAACCTTGGGTTATTTGGCTAATCACAACGACAACTTTACAATTGGCATCACCAAACACCAAAGGCTAAGGTTATCTCTCCTTTGATCTCTCAATCCTAATTTAATTCCAAGTTTATCTTTTTCCCATTAGTTTATTGTGCTATAGCTATATGAATCTTAAAAAAAAACAAAAAAAAAAATTGTAGTGCAGGCAAATTCATACATCTGTATACACGCATGTATATTGTACACAACACAAACGAAACAAGGGTTTAGTAGATTTATAGGGTTTGAAACGATGTCGCAAGCGACAAGGGAAAGGGGTGGTAAATCTAGATCAGGAGGTCGAGGTTGGGCTGCCTTCGACCGTGAGCAGCGACTGAAAGGACATGGTCTTCTTGAAAGCAAGCTCGTGGAGGACCCTTTCCCAGCCTTAGCACCTTCCATTTCCAAACCGAATAGAAGTACGAGTACAGGTACGAGTACGAGTACTAGTACTAGTAATGACGAGAATAACAACATAGCGGCAGCTGTGGACGAGCACATTGGTATGTTGCAATCAACGCGTCTTGATCACAATATTAGTTATATGACTATGAATGCAAATGACCAAAATAAGAAACACTACCACCGCCGTGTTGGTTCTAGTTCTAGTCTTGCTGAATCAGCCGAAGAAAAATTGCGTTCATGTGATTCTGGTGCTTGCAAAGCAGTTCCTGCCGATATTCCAGTGAGTGCAATGGTGGAAGGATTTAAGGATGTACCTGTTGAGCCTGAGTGGGAAGAAGATGATGTTTACTTGAGGCATCGGAAAGAGGCCTTGAGGACAATGAGGTACATTTCTTTTTACTAACTTAATATTGTTGTTTTTCTGTTATTGTCTGTTATTACATACAGCTCCATTTAAACGAGCAGATGTTATTGATAGCCACTCCAGTAATAATCAGACGTCTTTTAACCAATCGTGAATTTACATGTCAATTCTAAAACTGATGTACATAAGGATTTATGATGTAGACTTGTGTCGTTAAAAATCATTAATGGCCCAAGACTGCTTGGCCTAGTGGCACTGGGGAGTTTGGGGGAGGTTGCGGGTTCGATCCTCTGTTGTATCAAAAACACACACACACACACACACACACACAAAAAAAAAAAATCATTAGTGATGATCACAGTTGATGAGACTTATTAGCTGTTTTCAATTTAGATAATCATCCAACATTCTGTATTTGTATCAAATAGTGGGAGATTCTATCGTACAACTTATGAACCCTCTAATAACAAACTAACAAAACATATAATCTACTCAAATAATTGAGCAGGTCAGCATCGCAACATTCGAAGGTGGCTACGCGTGCATATCTAAGAGGAGATCATGTTTCTGCCCACCAACACTCTCTTATGGCTCATCACGAGTGGTTGGCTGCTCAAACCCTCAATGTAAAGGCAGCCAAGGATATTCTAAGCATTAGGAACAGCCAAAATGATGTGTGGAAATTGGATTTACACGGCCTTCATGCCGCTGAAGCTATTCAAGTTTTGCAACATCATCTTCACAACATCGAAACTAAGCTACTGTGTAATCGCTCCGTCTCTCCCAACAGCCTTAAGATGGAGGCCAGAATCGTGCGCTCTAACTCCCTCGAATCATTTGATTGTTTTGACGCTCAAAACTTGGATAAACAACATCAGGCATCCTTGAAGCAGAGACCAACATCCTTGCAAGTCATAACAGGTCTTACAAATTTTGTTCCAATACATTTTAGAACAAGTAAAAAAAAAAAGTTGTCTTTTGCCATCGGCATATAACATTATTGGAAAACTTTTCAAGTTATGATTGCTTAGCTAAATAATAGGGAAATTAGTCAAGTCAAACATTGTTTTGTTATGTCATGTCAGTGAAGATGTTAAATTATCATGTTTGATGCTTTCACTCATCAAGTTTTAACTTTTTAACAGGAGTGGGTAATCACAGTAGAGGAAAAGCTTCTCTTCCAGCAGCAGTCAGAGGGTTCCTCGACGAAAACGGGTGATTAATCGATCAATCCTTCCTTTCCTCATGTGGAAATGCTTATGAGTTTCAAAGTTATGAAAATGGAATTGCCACAAGACAAAAGAAGATACCTAATGTGATTTTATCTTGGATCTTGGATCTTGGATCTTGAATCTTGCTTGCAGGTATCGTTTTGAGGAGTTAAAGCCAGGAGTACTTATGGTTCGACCTAAATTCCGTTTACTGACTTAACTTTATACTCTTAGGGCATGTTTACTTTGCATCAAAGGAAAGGAAAAGAAAAGTAAGGCGTGATTCTCTCTCCCGTCTAATAATGTGTTTACTTACAAAATGAGTAATGGAGATTTAGTGGGTTCCACACAATATAAGGAATGAGAAAAAGTAATACTAATCTTTGCACTCCCTTTAGTAATGGAGATTATTTAATTGTGTAAGAGGACATTTTAGTGATTATATTCATAAAATTATTATTCCTAATTTTAATGATTATTTAATCATGAGTTTTTCATTACACTATCTAATAGTCAAATAAATACATAAAAATGAATGAATGACTTTTAAAATCTTATTATTTGATTTTTCTTTTTAATCCTATTACTTTTTTCATTATATTCTTTCACGGTTTGGTAAATGTGCCCTTAGAGGAAAGTGAACACCTTTTTTTTTTATTTTTTATTTTTTTATTTATGTTTTCATATACTATCTACTTGTATCTATTGTTGTACGTGTTCGTTTGCACTGTGATGGATAGAAAAATTGAATGCCCGTCTTTTGTTTATGTTGTGAATTGAATGTGTTGCAATTGTCGCAGTTCACAATGACAATCACCTCATTAATTTAGTGGTGAATTGAATGTGTTGTCTGCAGTTTGCAGTTGTTTCATGGAATCTTTGAGAGTCAGTTTTGACTAAGTATTTAATTCAATTAAGCAAGTCGTTGTAATCTGAAAATTGAGACAATATATCAAAGAAAATCACCCTGAGGGAATTTCTACGGATTTTCAATTCAAGAAGTGGTTTCAGTTTTAGATCACGAGACACTGCCAAGTTATATAATGTGCGTTTAATTTGCCAATTAAGTTTGCTATTTTGTACTCATGTGAGATATTCGGGAAGAATTATGGACCGATTATTTTATGACTTTCTGGGTCGAAAATTGAAGGGGAAAAGAAGACAAATCTCTTCTCTCCTCTCCTTAAAAGAGAGAATCCGTTTCTTAAGTTTAAAACCCCCAAGTGAGGTTAAAAATTAGATTGTATTAAAATTAAATGGGCCTTTTTAATTATTCAAGACTTATGTGAGTTTAACTTAGCGTGGTTTGAGTCCACGTAACGAGCTTAATCATATTGCAGGATATGATTTATTCTGCCTAGTCACTCGGATGGGCCTTGAACAAAATCGACCAACAACAACTGACAAAGTGCATGAGGGGTGAAATTGAAATAAAATTTTAATTTAAAGGACACCTTTGTAGTTTTTTATGTATTTGTATTTGTAGTTTGTCATATGCAATCAAAGTTTAACATCTTTTCATTTATGCCATATGTTGGGGCTCGGTAGAGTCGGCGGGTACGACGTGTATGAGATATACACGTGTAATCACTGGATTTGGTGGTGTTGATGTTGATATGGATGAGACACACTGTGTTTACAAAGGAGATTGTATGGTAGGACCTCTAACGAGAATATGGGAAACCCAAATTAAGCTGAAGAAAAATGGATCTTAGTGCCCACTTTGTCGCCAAATTATCAAAACACCCATTTAGGCGCATGGGAGGATGTCAAATGTGGTCATGGAGATCGCATGGACGAAGTATGGTGGAAGGAGTAATAGAACGGTTAATGGAGATTTGTCTCAAAAAGTGTGGATACGGCTCATTTGGAGGAATGCTCCGAAGACAAGCATAGGTTGCCTCCGGAGTGGATGTATCACTCGTATTGGTAAGGATAAGGCTATTTGGAGGCCTGCTCAGAGAACAAACACGTGTTGTGTGTGAGAGTAGGTGTTAGCAGATGAAGTTTTATGGCTTTTTGGAAATGTGCTCCAGAGCGGCGGATTTTAGACTTTCTAGAAAAGGCTCAGAAACTTCATATATTGCTCATGGACGAGTTTGAATGACTCAAATGTAGTGTTTATAGACTTCTTGAGTGAAGTTTCTGTTAGTGTTTATGCCCTTAGGAATAAATATAACAATATTTTTAAGACGTTTTGACTATTAATAAAGATTTATTTATTTCATATATCTATATAATGTCTTCTTTACGTTCATATTAGTTGAATATATGATAAGCAAACTAGAAGTATGAGATTGTCATTCTAAGTCTTTAGATCGTGCATGTAATGAGAAGAACATGCAGAAGACATGAATCTAAAGATGATAGTCTAAATCATATGATCTGCAATCGAGGAAATAAAGTTGGGTGCTTTATTCATGTTAATATTGTTATGTTGTCTACTTCCTAACGGAGAAGACTTATCTTGGTTGTTAGAGGTGGGACTCCAAGGGTAGAGACATTGATATAATTCTTAGTTGTGGAATCTATATTGGATCAAAGCAAAGTTGAATTGTTTTAACTAATAACTTTTGATGAATTAAATGTGGCCATGTTAATCTTAAGATGAATAATAAACCCGTATGCTTGACTTGTATCCCTTAATGTACCAAATGGAGACATCCTGACATTATGTAAAGGTATTACCGATACGTTGGGAGTATGACTCTTGTGTGCGTAGATTTATTATTCATAGATAGGGAATCCATAGCTCCTATAAAGAGTTAATGATATTCTCTTATGGCATTATTCAGGGATTGAAAAATACGAGTGCTCGACTATTAGACTACTTTGTGTTATCTAATGGTTTACTATTTGTATTGGTACGAATAGTGGATTTTCTGATAGAGTGGTAATAGAACATAAGATAAATATAATCGAGAAGGTAAAATGAAACTTAGCCTCAAGTCGATTATAGATATTCTATAAGCATGATACACTAATATAATGAGTCATGGACAAGAGCTATTCGGAACTTTGTAAATATACTATATAGATTAAGAGTGCAGCTCTAGGCTTTTAGTGGAGTAGCACTAGAGTTTATAATCATGTGATAAATTTGTTGGTGAATAAGTACTGTTGTGATTATAAGAGCTTGATCTATATTAGTGCTGGAACTTTGGACGGGCTGCATACGACCGCCCAAAAAAACTGCAGTTAGAAACCAACATCCAAACCCGCTCGCCCGAAATATTCAGGCAGCCCACCCGAGCATGAGATGGCCCATGGACGGGCCACGAGCCTGGTTTTGGCTGCCTGAGTCCGGTCGAGCAACCCGAGCCCACTCGAATGTGCCCGAAAAAATATATTTTTTAACTTTTTTAATATTGTATATATATATTATATATAATATAATATTATTTATTAATTGTATTTGTATATAAATAATTATTAAGTTATTGTGTTAAAATTATATAAAAACAAAAATCAACACACACTATTCACACACGTTAAACAATTAATTTTGTATATTAATTTTTAAATTTGTAATTCATGATTGGTTGGTTAAAAACCTTACAAAGAAAAATCTAATTGGGATAAAAACTTAGTAAGAAAAAAAGAGTGTAATCATTTTGTGACGAATCACAAATTTTACAAACTTACAAAGTCTAAATATACAATTACAATGTCGAAAGCAAATACATATTTACAAATTACAATTTAATTTGAAGCTGAATGATCGTCTTCAAAATTAAATGTTAATCTATTAAATTCATTGATCCATTCTTTACTTGCCGGCGAAATTGTATCCTATAAACGTTGATCGGCAGGATCTCAATCCTTAATGCAGACAAAGGCTTCAACAATGTCCCTTTGCAATGCGTTTCGGTGTTCCTCAAGTATTCATCCAGTCGTACTGAAGGCTTGTTCGGATGAAACAGTGGAGACTGGGATCGAAAAATATCCATTGCCAATCGAGTTAGGACTGGCCAAGTTAATGCTCGTGCCCTCCACCATTGAATTAAGTCAAACGATTCTCCACTACCGTCGACTACTAAGCTCTCACTAAGGTACGCCATAAGTTCATTGAAGCCGCCGCCACCTATCGATGAAGATCTACTCCCAGCTTCTGTTTGAGTCGTGGTCTTCTTCTTCTTCAACCCGAAAACAACACATTGGATTTGATCACTCGCTAATTTTGTATTCCTTCACAACAACACATGTATGTGAAGAAACTAAAAATTGGAATAACTTTTCTTCTCTTTTCTCTCTCTAAAATTCGGCTACCTTATGAAAAATAGAGAGCAAAAATTCTCTTCTCTAATTTTCTGTTGTCTCCTATTTATATAACACTAGGAGAACCCTTTTGCTTTAACGTGAAGACAAAGTAATAAAAATTTGGTTTTTATTATATTTTAAATCTCATTAAAATACAGTTTCCCATTTAATTTTAAAAACAAATTTCTCCTTCTCATTTACTACATGGCCGGCCACACCACAAGAAGACCTCCCTGTGGTTGGCTTAAATCTGCAGGTAGAGGTGAGATAAATTTTTTCCTTTTATCCAGTTTTCAATTTTAGCTCAAATTTAAATATAAATAAAGTCATAGCTGTAACTGTGCTACCAATTCTACCAAATTAGGTTTAGCCGCTGTCTCAGCTTCTGCTTGCCCACGGCCTCTACCTTGGCCTTAACCTAACTGTGCCACCACCTCTACTAAATTGGGTTCTGCTGCAGTCTCAGCTCTGGCTTGCCCATGTTAATTACCACGGCCACGAGCTCCGTGTCCTTGTCCGTGTGCCATCTTATCTTAGTCGTCTGTCACTAATTAAGGCCCCGTTCATTTCGCTGATTCGAGTTTAGAATTCAAGTTTTGCTACAGTAAAAAGCTCTTAGAAACAATCATATCTAACTTTTTTGCTACAGTAAAAAGCACTAACATAAAATCACATCTCAATTCAAATTAAAAACTCGAATCAGCGAACTAAACGGGCCATAAATTTTAACTAATAAGGAAACTCCCTATTTTAGGACATCGAATAAGGATCCACACTTCTATCATTTAAAAACTTCACCTCATAAAAACTTACATTTCATCTAAAGAAATTAAATAATTACTTACTTTGAGAATTTTGGAGTAAATGCATGGTAATAGATGATAGGAAATAGGAAACCGCTCTGATACCATATGTAACGACCCACACCTGGTATGATATTGTTCGCTTTAGACCTGAGCTAACACGGTTTTACTTTTGGACTTCACCCCAAAAGACTTCATACCATTGTAAGGTGGTGTCATTCTGTATAAATAAGGACCTATCTTCATCCGCAGGCAATGTGGGACTGCACAACTTACCCTTTCTTAGCCTTGTGCCTCAAGGGATTGATGGCTGTCACACTTTCCTTTTGAATTTGATTAGAAAACTTGTCAAACAAGTAAATCGGAGAGCAAGCAACTGAATCCCAGTGGGATTCTACTTGTGTCGCACGCCCTTTGTAGCTCCCTGTTCTTGGGTGTGTGACCTCCTGTGGTCCCACCACAGTGTGTTCCAAAATTAATTTAATTAAATAATCACATTATTTATTTTGAGTGATATTAAATCTTGATAATTCATCTTTTCTTACAAATATTACAAAGATGATGCGGGGACTTATGGATCTATAATTTTGAGCTCTAATAAAATTAATAAGTAATTAAACTCTTTAACTAATTAATTAATTATATTAATTCTAAAAGTTACGCCACTAAAAACTTGAAATTGCACTATCGAAATTATAGACATAATTTACTTCTAAGAACTTGATGTGTCCATTTGATATAGTCACTACATATAGATCAATTCTTGATAAATAATTCATAATTAGAGCTAAGTAAAATCCGTTAATCTCTCTAATTATATCTTTATCTTTGAGTACCATTAATTCTGTAATGAATAGTATATTCATAAAACACATTCATGAATACGAGCTCATTACTTATTCAAGTATCGAATCAACTTTCAAGTGAATTATTTATCTGCTTCTTTAAACAAAAATGAATGAATTCCATCTTGTATATTAGCATTCACAGCTATTTATTTCATCATGTTTCCAAGATACAAGGCATAAGATTTTAAATCTCAAAATCCGTACCAAGTAAGTAAAAAATACAAATCCACAAATATGAGTCTACTAATAACTCAATATTAAGATCATTCTATATATGATAATAGGTAGACTCATATTTGATTTTCTATACTTAACGGAAATTATCAGAAAATCAAATTGTATTTGTGTCCTAGTTCTACATAATCTTATTATGCATAATACTCTCGTTTAATATCCTTCTATATTAATGATGTGTATAACACCATTCCATTCTTAATGAGAATGCTGTGTATTAGTAATGTTTTAATTAAAGATTTTGTAACTTTAATTAAATTCATTACGAACATTATTTTGATTATTATTCTTAAATATTATCATCTCGTATATAACACTTATATACAATATTTAAAGTCACATAAATAATCACAGAATTTTTAATAATATTCATAAAGTAAATAGTAAATAAACTATTTTATTAATTAAATTATAAACATCTATGAAACATCTCATGCTTTAAGAATACTATTCCTAATACACAACGCCACTTTCTGAATTTGGCTAAACAAGCATTGTTGGAGCACTTGACACATTCATCCTTCACGGAATATAGGAAAAACCTTCACTCGTGGGGCAGTCTCTTGGAGCACGCACAGAAGATCTTCGTGGAGGTGTTTGTAGTGACGCCTCCTAAGCAGACACTTGTATAGAGATGAAGCCTCAGCCTGCTTTGGAGTAGACTGCTCTGGAGTAGAAAAACTTCTAATCTAGCATTGTAGGGGAAGGTTCCACAACTTAAATTCTAGACTTTTGAGCCTTTAAAGGCTGAGGAAAGGATTTTTAGGACTCTTAAAAGGCAAAACAAAGGACTTTTAGGGTTGAATTCTTCATAACTAATTTATTCCTTAGTCTAATTATTTAAAAACTCCCCAAGCGAGATTTAAAATTAGATTAGACTAAAAAATAAATGAGGTTAGTCAATTATTCATGACCCACCAAACTACTATTGGCGTGAGTTTTTTTAACGTAATTTAGGTTTATAAATCGAACCTAATTACATCACGAGACGAAATTATTAGGCTCGGCCCAGCCTTGTCGAAAAGCAGCAACCAACACCATTCTTTATTATTGGTTAATTTGGTTTAGAAAAATATATTGGGAAAAATGAAAATAATATTTTAAAAGAATACTCTTCAACTGTGATCTTTACCGCCGAGAAGAAAAAAATAATTCGATAAGCTTTTAAAAATATGCTATCAGGATATTTTTTCATGAACTAAAAAATGACATAAATGTTAAAGTTTAAAAATATATTCTTATTTTCTTTTTGAGTGAGATTTTTGTGAATGTCTTTTTTATTTTTTTTATTTATTTATTTTTTTAAAAAAAGTTCAAATCGAGCCCAAAATAAATTAGGAGAAAGTAGTGATTTACTCAGTAAGGAACAGAGGGGCACAAACAAAACAAAAACAACAGTACAGTAATAGTATTGTATTTCTAGTATTAGAGGGGCAAATTGAACCGTTTTTTCCTCAGAGTTTGCGATTCTTTCGGTAAGAGTAGAGTCTTTCTTCTTCTTTTCCTATGTCTTTTTAGATTTAGATTTAGATTTGATTGATCTTTGCGATTCTATTCAATTCTTTCTATGCTCTAAATTGGTTCGAGATTCGCAGATTTCTTGAAGCAAACCAAGGTCTGTAAACTTAGCAGTATTATAAGGGCCATAATTTTGAGTTTTTTCAATTTGATGGTGCAAAAGCTTTTCTTTTTTCTCTTTGATATATATATATATATATGTGTGTGTGTATATATATATATATATATTTGATTTATATATGGGGGGGGGGGGGGGGGGGTTTTGGGGTATGCATGAAGAGAAGAAGAAAATCCTTTTCTTAATTTTCATAGCTTTATAGTATAGGGTGGGTATGGGTGGAAATGATAGTTGACTTGTTGGGTATTTGGAATTTGGATTGTACAACATCGTCTTGTTTTTTGTTGATATTTGATTATATATAATCAAAACCAACGCTCACTAACTGTTCGACCAAATGTCTGTGACTGTGAGGACTCCAAAAGCGAAAGAGTCTCTTCAACATATGCCTTTTTTTACTTGTCTCGAACCTGTTGAGTGTTTTGACCTACCAATTTCTTCCTGGGTCACAAATTCTTCAGTTCAAACACAGCCCTACAAAAGTGAGTTTTAAGCATCAATCAGATTTAGTGAAAGTTGATGTTAGAAATAGGGTTTTATTTCTTTTATTATTATTATTTTTTAAACAGGAGCACAACAGGGCATTTAGGCAGAAAATGGGAGTTCAAGAAATTTGGGGGTTCCGAGGGAAATGTTTTGATGCAACCAACCTGTTTTAACGCCATTCATTCCGTCGAGATGAGACGTTCTGTTTGCGTATCTGTGAATTGTTTGAATTTATGTTTGCCATTTGGAATTACCAATTGAGTTAGGCCTTTTGGGGTTTCAGATTGATTTTCCAAGATTTAATTACTCTTGCTTCCTTTTTTTTTTTTTAAGCTATTATTCTTAGGTTTTGAAAGTCAATTCATTTTAGTTCAATTCATCCATCATTTGTCTCTTTTCTGTTTTGATTTAATTATTAGAATATCTCATGTGGTTTCAGTTTCTTTATACAATTTAGTAATTGCATTCGGTTTTAATTATGTCATCTTATTAGCAGAGAAACAAAATGGATATTGGAGATATGCCCAACAATAACATAAAGAAATGGGTAGTGGTTTATCCAGTTTATATAAATTCAAAGAAAACAATCGCTGAAGGGAGGAGAATTAATGTGAGCAAAGCATGTGAGAATCCTACTTGTGCTGAAATTGGGGATTGTTGCACCCATTTCAAACTCCCTTTTGCAATCGAGGTCTCTTCTTGTCTCGTCAAAACTAAAAATTCCGTGGTTCGAAATATATGTTCACAACTACATGCCAATATTGCTGCGGTTGATTGATTGTTTTCTTGCAGATTGATAAAGCTTATCCGCGCGATTTCATGCAAAGAGGGAGAGTGCGGGTGTTGCTTAAGAAAGATGATGGCACTCCCTGTAATCCAGCCATATCTTCAAGTAAGGATTATTTCCTTCTATTAACCAGTTTGAAATTTACCCAATTGATTTTGCAAACAGATTTCTGTATTATGTGCACAGAACTAGTGTCCAATATCATGTGTATATGTAATGATATGTATGTGTTATGTTTTAGTTTTAGTTTCTTGGTTTTGTTGTTCTTTTAGTAGGAAATGCCTGCAGCATCATTTCACTACCTGTTGTCGTAACAGTTGGACAGACTTATAGATACTCAAATAAAAACAGTGATCTGGAAGCTGCAATTTCATTTAATCGTCGATTTAGATTTGCTTTTCTTGTTTACGTGTGTAGCACAAAATTTCTTGCTACAAAGCATGATTAACTTTTACCTTTGAACAAATAATTATAGTGTTAGCACCGTGGAATAATTATTATTTAATTATCAGAATCTTCGATGTCTAGCATTGATATTGCATAGATGGTTGAGTTTTCAACAATAGTTTTCAACTTTGCATCATGGGGGGGTTTTGTTGCTGTTGGTTAATTGGGCGCAAATTGTAATATTGTTGTGAATCCAGCCATGAATAAACTAGAATTCTGATAAGACAAGACCCTTGGTAAGACAGGTGTTTGTGAGGAGAGGGAAGCGGCTGTAGGCCCTGGGGAAAGACAGGTGTCGTTAGGGAGGGGAACAGCGGCAAGTGTAGGATGGTTAATGAAATGTAACCAATCAGGGGTTAGTTAGTGGGGGGGAAAAGTTTGTTACAACAGAATTAGGGAAAGGGGAGGGATATAAATAGGGAGAGAGTGGATTAGTCGAGTAGGAAATTAGTGAGTAAAGGTTTAGTTGGGCCAATTAGCCAGCTAAGGGAGGTTTTGCAGTCCCTCGAAGAACTGCTGAATTGTATTCCAAAAGTCCTTCAGTGAATAAGAATAACTGTTTCTTGATTTCATTCTGTTCTTGCCTATTTTCCGGTAATAGAAATCCTAGGGTCTAACATTTTGGTATCAGAGCAAGATTCTGGGTAGGAAATGGCGGCTAGGAAGACGGAAGAGAGGTTCGATACTGCCGAGAGGGAAATCAAGGAGATGCGAGAAGCATGTGTTAGGCCACCTATTATATTGGTCTACTCTAAGAAAAGGGGCCCAAAGGGTAATATGCTGAGAAGAGGGGAGGAAGGTGGAAATACTGAAAGTGTTCCAGCGAGGCAACGTGAAGGAAGTGCCAGCGTGGCAAGTTGGTTACGTGAAGGGAGTGCGGGTAGTATTTGAGCCGAGGAAGAGCCTTGGGAAGAGGGTTGAGATATTTGGAAGAATTCTGGACCATTGGAGGACGGAGAACCTCGAATTCTCCACGTTCCATTTTCTGCCATTCTGTTTGCTAGTTTTTCTTCTTTTTTTCTTGCTATTTGGTTTAATCGTGTAAGAAAGAACTTCTCACGATCGAGAGGGAAGATTAGAAATTATCAATAAAACTTGTTAACGTTGGATTTATCTCAATATTGGCTGTGATAACTGGAAATCTGGGCAGGAACCTATCAATTTGGTATCAGAGCCTAACGATCCATGGCAGAGGCGGCTGGCGAACGAGTTCCGGAGGAAGAAACAGTGCGGTTGGAACGGAGGCTGGACACATATTTTGAGGCTCTCCAGTTGGTAGAACGGTTAACAGAACCCATTCCCCAGCTCCAAGACAACGTGACGGCGATCGGTGCGCAACTGGGAGAGGTGCAGGGGGTGCTGCGACGGCTGGAGAACAATTTTCTCCGACAGGCGGATTTGCTTCCGCGGAATCCGATGGACCCACCACCGCGCTTCAACGCGGGACCGGCTCGATTTCAAGCGCCACGGCGACAAGCTCCCCATCCACGACCCGCGACTCCCCCGCCGCCGTTTCGTGAGGACGAGCATAGGAGGTTTGGGCGCGATCTTAGGCCGGAGTCACCACCGCATCACAGGGGGCGGGTGGAACATCGGGGACGAAGGTTGGAAATGCCTTTGTTCACCGGTGCAGATCCGCAAGGATGGGTATTCCGGGCGGACCGGTATTTCGCCGTCAATGAGGTGGAGGAGGAAGAGAGGGTGGTAGTAGCGTCGGTCTGTATGGAGGGGTGAGCCCTGGGCTGGTTCCAGTGGGCGGACACTCAGGACCCGTTCAGGTCCTGGAGGGACCTGAGAGCGGCGGTGCTGCGTCGGTTCGGACAGATGGGAGAGAGGGACCCGGCGGAACAGCTCATGGCTCTCCGGCAGAAGAGTACCGTGGCGGACTTCCGGGATGAATTTGAAGCCACGGCCGCCCAAATGAGAGGGGTCCCCGATGCGATTTTCAGGGGAGCATTTCTCCACGGGCTCAGAGAGGACATCAGGGCCGAGTTGAAGATGCACCGGCCCAACAGTCTCTACGACATGATGGACCTGGCCCAACAAGTGGAGGCCCGTAATGAAGCAACGGACCGGGTCAGGCGCTACCGGATGGGCCGGGTGCCTAGGGCTGAGGCGTGGAGTAGGTCGGGTGGGTCACAAGAGGGCCCAAATTTTTCTTTCCCTTCCGAGAGCACCCTTCGATCCAAAACGGAGACCACGACAGGGACCCATGGGGGACGGACGGGATCAGGGATCGGAACAAACCCAGCCACGGGAGAACCCACAACGTTCCGGCGATTGACGGAAGATGAGACACAATTCCGGCGGGCATGGGGCCTCTGTTTCAAGTGCGACGAGAAATTTGGTCTTGGCCACCGTTGCAAAAACCGCCAGCTCCAGGTGTTGATTATGGCGGAGGAAGAGGAATCCTCGGATGGTGACTGCGGGGCGGACCGGAGTACCTCCACCAACGAGGAAAAGAACGTCGAGGAAGCTTCCGAGAGGGTGGACCTATCCCTTAACTCCATTCGTGGGGTGTCTTCCTCCAACACAATGAAGTTACGGGGTCACATCGGGGAGCGGGAGGTGGTGGTGCTGGTGGACAGCGGCGCCACGCACAGCTTCATTTCCGCGGCGGTGGTGGCGGAGCTGCAACTCCCGATCGACCAAACGGTAAGCCACAATATCCTTGTGGGTAACGGGTTGAGTTTCAAACAGACCGGAGTCTGTAGGAGAGTCCGAGTGTGGATACAGGGACACCAAGTAGAGGAGGATTTTTTTTCGTTCGAACTAGGAGGAGTTGACTTAGTCCTAGGGGTTACATGGCTGAGTACCCTGGGAGAGGTACGAGCCGATTGGTCGAAGTTCTCAATGAAATTTAGAGCAGGACCGACATGGGTAAAATGGCGAGGGGACCCTAGCCTATGTTATGCTCCGGTGAAGATGAGTTCATTAATTCGAACTCTGCCCCTGAACAAGGCAGATCTGTTGGTGGAGGTCTGTGAGTTGGCACTACAAGGCACAGAAAAAAAGAAAGAAATTCCAGGGGAGGTGCGAGAGGTCCTGGGGATCTTTGAGGAAGTGTTCGATAGCCCCTCGGGGCTGCCCCCACGCCGAGGGCGGGATCATCGGATCTTATTGCGCGAGGGGGCTGATCCCCCTAACGTGCGCCCCTACCGATATCCCCAGGTCCAAAAGGGGGAAATAGAACGATTGGTGTCGGACATGATGGCTGTCGGCATCATTAGGCCGAGTAACAGCCCATACTCGAGTGACCATCCCCGATAAGTTTCCTATACCCTTAATTGACGAGCTATTGGACGAGCTTCACGGGGCAATGGTGTTTTCCAAATTGGACTTACGGGCCGGTTATCACCAAATCCGAGTGCACGAGGCGGACGTGGAAAAAACAGCCTTCCGCACGCATGAGGGCCATTACGAATTCCTCGTAATGCCCTTTGGCCTCACCAATGCCCCGGCCACTTTCCAGGCCCTCATGAACCGGATTTTTCGCCCCCACCTTCGGAAATTCGTCCGTGTATTTTTTGACGACATCCTTGTATACAGCTGCACGTGGGAGGAGCATTGCCACCATTTGACCACCGTTCTAGGGGTTCTGCGGCAGGAGAAGCTATATGCTAACAAGGAAAAATGCAGTTTTGGCCAACCCCAATTGGAATATCTCGGCCACCTCATCTCGGGTCAAGGAGTGGCTGCGGACCCTTCTAAGGTGCAGGCCATCGAGTCTTGGCCCCCGTTGACAAGTGCCCGGGAGGTGCGAGGCTTTTTGGGGCTCACCGGGTACTATCGCCACTTCGTAAAGGGGTATGGAATCCTCGCTCGGCCCTTAACAGAGCTCCTCAAGAAACAAGGATTTGTGTGGACCGACGAGGCGGCTTGCGCTTTTGAAGATTTGAAGGTAGCCATGACCGATTTGCCGGTGTTGGCTATGCCGGATTTCTCAAAGACCTTTGTGATAGAATCCGATGCTTCGGGGGTGGGGTTGGGCGCGGTCTTGATGCAAGATGGCAGGCCAATCGCCTTCTTTAGCAAGGCCCTGTCCCCTACGTCCCGGTTGAAGTCGGTTTATGAGCGAGAGCTCATGGGATTGGTGCTCGCGGTCCAAAAATGGCGGCACTATATATTGGGGCGCCACTTCATACTTCGTACGGACCAGAAGAGCTTACGCTTCTTGATGGGCCAACGCCAACTTCCCCCGGAGCAACTAAGGTGGATCTACAAGTTGCTTGGGTATGACTTCGAGGTGCAGTATAAGCTTGGGGCTGCCAACCGGGTGGCGGACGCGCTGTCCCACCGTGGAGACTGGAATGAGGTTTCGTGCTCGGCTTTGTAAATCCCGCACACATGGGATTTCTCTGCTATCCGGCGGGAACAGCGGGCCAAACCTGAATTGGCCTCCGTGATAACCAAGCTCGAGACAGGGGAGGTAATGGAGGCTTATGCACTAAAGAATGGCTTGCTGTTTTACAAAGATAGGTTAGTACTATCCGAAAATTCCCTCTGGATACCCCGGCTATTCCAAGAATTTCATGATTCGGTGATCGGCGGACATTCGGGGTTCCTGCGCACCTACAAACGGCTGTCCGCCCTGGTTTTTTGGAGGGGAATGAAGCGTCGGATCAGGGACTATGTGGCTGCCTGCGGAACGTGTCAAA